CCAGTCTAGCACAAAATCCAGATCAAGAAGAAGAATTCAAGAATGATTAAAGCTCCTCAATCTTACTTCTTCTCTTCTTTCTCAGCATCAGCGGCTCTCTTGGCTCTGGCACCAGCATGGCGTTTGTTTGTGCGCTCTAGACGGATCTTGTCATAAGCCCTGAACGCCTTCATATCAGCAGTCACCTTAACAAGCTCCATTGCTGTCTTCTCCCTAACAATAGGCATGTAATCTCCTTGGACTTGAGTAGCATTAGAAAGCTCCTCTGGAGTAGAATCACCAGCCTGCACACAAAAGTTACCAAATTGTTATAAGAAATCAGGAATCAAGAGGGTATCTCTATGTGAAATCAAGAGTGGATGATACCTTGACTTTACGGGATCGGCGAGGGAACACAACCAACTTGGCCTTGTAAGTCTTCAACCTTTGAACATTGGACTGAAGACCTTCCAAGGAACGGTTCTTGCGACGGTGATCAAGAGTAATTCCAATTGTCGGAGCCAACTTCTTTGGGATACCAGCAGCCTGATTAAACCCGGAAACAGGAATGGACTATTAGCATTCTCAAGGTTATATCTTTTCAAAGAGAACAATAAGAGAGACATTTTCAGACCTTGAGCTCTTCGAGAGTGAACCCTTTTCCGGCTCTGACTTTCATGTTGTACTCAAGAGTTTGGGCACGAACAACAGGTCGGAGAGGTCCCGAAGTAGGTCGAGGGAAGATCTTCACTGCCTTCTTTTGTCTAGCTGAGAAGACACACAACACACAAAGGAACCATGACTATATTAAGAGACTAGACTAACATAACCAAACTTAAAAAAAAAGACATGATTTACGAACCAACTCTTCTCCTGGTTTTCATGGCAGGTTGGTTAAACCCTGTCTTCACATTGTTCTGCCAGTGCTTCCTGAAGTGAGAGGTCGGGATTTCATTGTTGTGCTTCATTTTCTTACCTCACCTGTAATAAAAAAAAAAAGCAACTCAGATCAGACAAAGTATTGATTCATATGCATAATCGATCAAAAACTCCTTTACAAAATGCAAGTGGAAATTTTTCTCAAGAATGTAAATCGTTTGCCATTTGATCAGAGCAATATTAACAACAGACACAAAAATAAAAACTTATAAAAACCATTGAGAATCACAGAAATCAACAAACAAAAGCCGCAAAACGCTCGAATCATAAGAACTAAGCTCAAGTTCGAAAAGAAATGGTTTCTAACAAAGATGCGAATTTTCGAGGTAAAGGTTTTGTTATGAGTAGAAACAATGACGCATATTTCATAAAGACCTAATACTGTACTGATACCG